ATAATTAATTTCTCCCTATAATGAACAAAAGCAGAAAAATGCATATAATGGACAGAGGGTTCGGTATAGAGAGAGAGCTTTGTATTATTACCAATTTTGCCACTGCAGATAATAATAATAATAATAACAGATTTTTTTGGCTGGAACCATGAATCCGCTGTGGTGAGGTTTGACTGTAATCATTTAGCATCTATTAAGTGTATAATAATAAAATTCAACAGCACATGATTATTTTGTAAGTAAATTTACCATTTAAAAAATTCCATGTGACTAAATTAACCAGTTAACTGGTTAACTCTTAATTTTAACGGTTAATTAACCAGTTAAAGAATTTTTGCATGGTGCCAACCTCTAATCCTGGTATCAACTATGTAAACATTTACACCTGAACCTTGTGAGGCTGGAACCCAAATTTTTTATAGGATGATGATCTTTGAGCAACTGATGTTACACATATGTAAAAGTGAATAGGATCTAAGTTTTCACCAATTATTATTATAATCTATATTATTAGTATTAGTCAATATTGCATATTTGATAAAAATGATTTTGAAGATGATTTTTTGTTGGAAAAAATCCAATATCATTTGAATTGTTGGTTGAAAGTAATAGTCTGAATGAGCATAAAGTGCTCTAGTATCCTGTATTGTCATTCAGGCAATTTTGAAGATTGTGTTTGTCAATATTATTTAGAAAGGCACAACTGTATATATGTCAAAATCAGGTACATAATTTGACTTGAAGTTTTATGTTATTGAAAAGCAAATTTTATTATTTATATAGTATAAACATTTCAAATGCAAAAAATTTTCTAATATTTATGAGATCCCATTAACAGAACTATTTTGCAAAATGTAAGGGTATTCAGTTAATTGTCCCTCTTCATCATAATAATAATATGGAATATTATAATAATGAAAAAGAGCACCTAGTGCTAGTACTTCATTCACACTCCAGTCCTGTGCATGGATTTCAATATTCTTATCATGGCCATGTAATTGTTTTGATACAGTATGGTAAAGACCACCCATACACTTTTCTACATCTTTGTATTGAGAATTATTAGCTAAACATATTTGTTTTAAATATGACACAAACTTTGCATCTTGTGCCAATTTCATTAAATCACTGTCTGTAGGATCACAAAATGAGGTAGTTTTATCCTGCAATTGAATCTATTGAGAGAAAAAGTATGTAAGCAAAATATGACAAAAGTAATTAAAAAATACACAAAAAAAAACACAGAATGTTACCATTGATCTGATGAACTCTAAGGCACCTCTCACATTACACATCCTTTTTGATTGTAAAAGAAGTTCAGTGCGGTATTTGATATCATTCTTAAAATTCGTAATACTATTTGATAGTTCTGATTTTTTGTATTCTTTTTTTTCCTTTACATCTGCTAGTTTCTGCATTAAATCCATTGTTAGTTCTGATTTTTCACATTCTTTTTTTTCCTTTACATCTGCTAGTTTCTGCATTAAAACCTTTGTTAGTTCTGATTTTTCATATTCTTTTTTTTCCTTTACATCTGCTAGTTTCTGCATTAAATCCTTTGTTAGTTCTGATTTTTCGCATTCTTTTTTTTCCTTTACATCTGCTAGTTCCTGCATTAAATCCTTTGTTAGGTCTACCTTTTCCTCCATCAAATCCTTCATTAAACCAGGGTTGGCAAATTGACTGGTCCATTGAGAACAGATGGATTTTAGACTGGTCCATTGCCATTAATAAAATACTAAATATGGTTAACATCCGGAAAATATAAAAAAATTTTACACATGTCAATTGTAAGTTTAATAATAAAAAAGTGTAAAACTTACGTCGGCACTGTAAGATTTACACAATATTACGTCGGCATCGTAAGATTTATGCAAGTTTACGCTAAATTAATTTCCTGATGAAAGCGCCATACAATATACTAAAATCAGGCGACCTCGGAGAAAATCAGTACAATGCACAATTTGTAAGTCCAGTACTGAATAATGTGCTCAAGGCTGTTCTTAGTATCGACTGGAGAATGTAAGTGAATTCGATTATCCATCCTGAGAATATTCATCGGCAGTGATTAATTAACATTATGAAATTACACTGTTATAGTCTCGAAGTCCCGGTTGAAAGTAGCAAACACCGACGTAATTCCAATATCAACCCAATTATTGATAAAGTTTTGGAAGCAAAACGTGCAGATGGTCTTGCCCGCCTCTGGCAAAGCCATAAAGAAGTGCTCATATATGAACAGACAGGACCTCCAGACTTTGATGATGTTACTCAATTTTACATACATGATTATAAGTTGGTTCGAGCCATGAGGGATGTGTTAAATCAAAGAATAACCCTTCGTCTTAAAGATGGGATATCTGATCATAAAGACCTAGCAAGCTTTGGTGCCTTTGGCCATCGCACCGAGGTATCTTTATTTTGGTGTACAATACACCAAAAATCATATTAATATTGCCTTCGGGAATACGAAAGTTTCAAGATTCCTGCAATTTGGCAGGATCTTCCTGTACTAGCTGAAGCAATTATAACCTGTCTAAAATTTTTTGTGAGTATAATAAAGTTTGTATAATTCCTTTTCACTTATTCACTATTTTTTGCTAATGATTGTTTACATTCAGTCATTTATGAAAAAAAATATCGAAAAGGGCAAGTCACATACTGACCAAAAAAATAAGTTACTTGTCAAGCGGAAAGTTCACACTATAAAGCAGAATCCACCAACACCAAACCGACCTAAGAAGCAAAAGCATTAGCTGTTAAAAGCGAAAAAAGGAATTGAAATATAATATATGGAAAATAATTTTATTGTCTAAAATTGTGCAATGATTCATTGCTACACAAGTATGTTTCAATTGCGACTTAAAATTTTAAACAAATATCAAATTATAATAAAGTTCGGGCTTCTGATTTTTTAACTTTCGTGTATGTGGTGTGGTGTGGGGGTGTGCATCGGAAAATAAAACTATAGCGCACTTTTGGTAGTAACCAAAAGCATAATTATTTCAGAATTTTATTAAATTGGACAAATGGTTACATAGAACCTTGATTTATTGTATGAAATAAAAAATACGTATCGCTATTACATAATAATAATGCGAATACACAAAAAAATCTAGTTACTTCTATACCAAATAATCCCCTAATCCAAACGAACCACGTTGCTCTTTCTGTTGACTTAGCATAAAAATTCTTTCGCCATATACAGATAACTCGTAGGTATATATCCAAGTTATGAGATAACTTTCTTTACCCTTAACATCTACAGTTGAAATTTTTATAGGTAGATAATAAACAAGCATCGGCTTCTTTATTGTGTATATTTGTTTTATAAAGCATCACCACAAATGTAACTTTTACAACAATAATAAGGGAGCTCTGGAACAAGAATTAAAAATAGTAAAAAAATTTATTATTTCAAATGATTATTATAATTAGCTTTAAGAAATAAATAAATAAAATGAAAAGGTTAAAGGATGAAATAAAAAGATATAACTAATTCAAAGAAAAAATTTATAGTAGAGATTAAATTAATCATCCATTGATAATTTATCAATTCCATCAACAACCTCATCTATTCTTTCTACATCATTTCCCTTACTATTGTTGCTAAAATCTAATGTTTATTAATTGATTAAAAAATACTGTTAGTAATAATTAAATAGATAGTAGTTTCCAATTAATTAGTAATGAACCTTTTTTTTACCTTTATTAAAATCAGCATTTAGGAGAAAAGAATTAAAATCAAGATTATTCAATTATCATTAATTGTTAAGCTTTGTGATTTAGTAATTTCATCACCTAATATTCTGCTCATATGATATGCACCTGGATGTGGTTTGTGCAAATTACTACCATTATCATTATCACAACTAATATTATTACTGCTATTATTATTAATATTCATACTTTCATTTTTATAAATTTCTTCTAATTTATATCAGCAAATTCATAAAGCTCTTCAGAAGTTAGTCTTTTTGATGGATCTTCATCCCAACACTTCTGCATCATTTGCACATAATCATCAGGCATTCCTGGTAATATTGGTGGTCGTAAACCT